TTTCACAAAAATCTAAAAATATTATCAAATGAATTTTATTTCTCATTATGACATTTCAATTTATTACAGTTCAATATTGACTATTCAATATTATTTTTTTACATCTGACTAATCGACAAATAATCATCGGTTTAATAAATAGATGAAATAAAATGTCTCCTAATCATATTTTCTTTTTGTTTCAAAGTCACTTGATGAAATTTATTTTTGAAGTTGAAATTCTACTTGTGATACCATAATTAACGATTAGTTCATATGCTGGCGATTATGAATTACTATGATGAATAATTTCATCAACAACGAGTTGCATAGATCTTTTTGTCTGAACGCTAATTTGAATGAATTCTTCGATGAATTAATACTACTACTTGTTTTATTTTATTTTATTTTATTTTTAAATCTTTGACCGAAATTTTCTTGACTGCACTAAATATTAATATTTGACCGTAAAAGAATATTTTCTATTGAGTTTAAAATAAAATAAACTATATGCTAAATGATTATTCGAGAATAGCTTTTATAATAAACAGAATGCTGTATAATATACGTAGGTGATTTAGTCATTCGAATAGCACATTTACTAACAAAACGGAGATTTTCAGTATGATCAAATTATTTATGTTGTTATATAAGGCGTGCATTTTATCGTCTCAGTGCATACCGTTGCAAGAATATTCACTACTGATAAGAAATGAATTTTAGTAATTTGGAAAAAATCTGTCAGCATTTTCTACTCAACATGAATTGCTCTTACATAGATCGTGAAGAGTACTTTGAAAAAGTAGAGTTATTTCTTATTTTTTTTCCTATTAAGCAAACTGTGTAGCTAGTTTAATTAATTTCATAAGTTCATGTAAATCTTGTTTTCATTAGTTCACACACTAAAAAACGAATCTCCTTGTTTCCTAGACATCAGTTCTAATAAAGTAAAGCTACAACTTATGATGATTTGCTTTTAATGATAAATAAGTATAACATGTTATATCTAATCAAGTGTATGAATATTCTGTACAGTGCTTGAATCTTTTGATTATATTGACAATGTGATAGTCTGTTTCCGAAATATTTTCAACACAATACTGTGGTACTACTTAAAAACAATCATAAAGTGAATTTTCGCAATGTGACTTGACGAATATAGTATAATACAATAGTTGCCAGCCTTTAGTGTGGCTTGCTTGCTACGATATGGCTATTGAAGTGGAGTCTTTGTAATTACAAGACTCGAATACGCATGTATATTTGATATTGTTAAATGATTGTAGGAATAGAAAAAAAGAAGCATTGAAGTTTTCTAATATGATATTCGTGTTCGAAACTGTTTTTTTTTTGAAGATTTTCAAATCAAAATTTAAAAACAATTTTTTCTTACTTTCTTGAGTGAGACTACTTCATTCTGCTACAAACTACTATCGTAAAAAATACAGTGTTTTCACGACAATGAGTTGGAAATCTGCTCTTCGAACTCTAAATTCCTCACCATAAAAGTGAATAACATAACTAGTTTTTAGTTGAAAGTGATTGATTGATTGATTTCGAGGACTTCTTTTTTGAGTTCTTACATAGAAGATACAATTTGAACTTCTAGGGAATTTTGTATCCGATTAGTAGAGTCTTCTTATCAGATTTGCAGGTAGTTCTATATAAGTAGGTGCTACATGTCATGTCTCAGTGAAGTGAAGTTAATTTTCTTTTGTGGAACTCACATATATTTTCGAAGACAATGGTGTGTAAGTGTAAATGCGAGATTTTTACGACTCCTCCTCCATTACACACATTGATGAGTTTAAAATTGTGCTAATTAGGAGCTTGACTAATTAGGCTACTATTTCTTCATTTTTTAATTACAGACTACACGAAAAAAGCAACACTTGCCCATTACAGACTATAGAAACTAGTCTCTGCCATGGTTAAATATACGAGCTAACAATTAATACTCCATTAAAGACATAAGAAAAGAGACAATGACCTAATTATAGGTTTTGGAAATCAAGGTAGATTTTTCAGATGAGCTATTTTGAATTGTTTTTAGTAAACACAAGGAATATATGTGAGTTCCACATTTTAGCTTCAAAGGGGCTGCGCTAACAAGTTTTTCACAACGATGGTGCTATTTTAATATAACATGCGATTGGTCTTTCAATAATCTAGAGTTCATTGGCGGAAAAAATTAACTTAAATGTTTCTAAACGGATGTATACCCGATCTCCTGTATACCGTTCGAATGAAATTTGCTTTTCATAAAAACAATACTGATTCAAACTACAATGAACTATCATCATAAATTGAAATAAAAGCGTGTAATATTTTCCGAGTTTCTAGAAGCCACAATGAATCCAAGATTAAATTCTCAGGCATTTTCATTTTCAATTGTTTCAACAGATTTACTACTTCTTTAATATCTTTTTTTTTCTAGCTAAGAAAAGATTCCCTAACTAGTTTATGAAACATCATCAATAAAATATTCATATGAACATATATTCATAGAAGATTAATTCTATCTACAAAGCATTGGTAGCTGCAAAGTTTTGATCAAAAAGACAACGAACTCTCGCTTTAATCATCCGACTAAATTTAGGAATCATTGATTTCTCGTTCTTAGACTAAGCAATTTCAGAGCAACACCGCTAGGCTTAATATCGTATTATCCTAGGAGGCTTTTACTTGGTTATCATATAAATTCAATTTGCTTTTTACATTAATTAATCAAAACATCCATTTTGTTTGAGTTTTGCAATAAAAATCTAATTTAGTTAAAATATCAAATGAAATAAAAACTAAGTGTTCTGTTAACATTTTAAGGTCAAATTTCGGGGTTTGTTCATTTGTAATTATTGTATAGATTGTTTTAACGTGAACAATAATTTGAAGATGAAAACACCTTCAAATAACATCGTCAATGACAAAATTTAATGCTGTTAGCGTGATTGCACGTTTTCATTCTATTAGTGATATATACAGGTGTCTATGATGTTTTGTAACAATATTTCTATTGATTGTCTTGCATCATATCGTAAAAAGATGAACTACTCACCAGCACATTTACTTGTCACCAATTCAAAGTAGAAAAAAAAATCAATCAGTAAATAGTTTAATTTATTTAGAGAATTTCAACGTTTTATTTTCTAATCAAAATGAACAGTAGACACATTAAAACAAGGACACGATGTAAAAGCCGCAGATAAACTCCGTAAAAATTCATCAGTACTGTTTTACCTATGAAACAAAAACTAATTATTTCTTTGAGATTTAGCAAGTTGAGTTTTGAAGATATTTCATTTCATCAGTAATGATTATTTGCATTGGCATATCGTCTAGTATTTGTTTCGTACTGGCTTCAGTATTAAAAAAAGCAATAGGCGGATTATAATCAACTGTTTGAAAACGTCTTTTATGACATAAAACCAATTGTCGACGTCAAATATGATTGATTGACATGATTTAATAAATGGGTATTAATGCTCCTTTAGCCCCGATGAGTCAGAAGTATGAGTACTCGAGTGAAACAAACATGATAGAATTGAACTCTTTTAGAAAAAATTTGACTTACATGGTTTATCATCTGATGTGAGCTGCGTCGTATGGCATAAACTTGTACTGCTATTATATGATTCTGTTAAAATCTGATATTTATCTAGTGATGAAGCCATGTGACAAAGGCTTCTTTTCTTAAGGATCCAATTATTACTCACCGATTATCAAACATAAAATTCAATATTTTAGACAAATATTTAAGTAATGAAAAAATCAAAATTCTTTCTCAGCTGTTCCAAAGTTCTGCCATTGTTAAAATAGAAAAATATAATATCCATGATAATTTCTGTTTTCAAATTCATATTTATGAACAAGTTTCTAAGCATGAATTCATTGATTTGAAAACTATTACGCATCATGAAATTGTAAGAAATCTTTAATTCAATTCCTATTTTCACGAACGAACTAATGTAACTCCATTGCAAGTTCATCTACAACATAAGAATTATGACTTTTCACTTCTTGAAATTTGTTGTCTTGTATGAAAATTCTTAGAAAATATTCCAAATCTCTGATATCACACTTTGCATTCAGTAGCTTGTATTTTACTAGATCCATTTCACCAAACTAGTACAATACAATTGATAAAATAAAAATAACTATACCGGAAAACTGATTGAATACCCCTCGAGTAAACTCTAATCGCTAAATTCAATATCGACTAACTTGCTTCTTTTGATATATAGAATCATATGACCATTGAATGTTAATTATTTCTATAAATATTTCATGCTAAAACTTCAGTTAAGTGGAGTTTGCGTTTTTTTTTCAAGACAGTATTTATATACCAATATTCCGATTGTTTCATAATGTAATTTATTCAAAATGAAAAAGTCAACATAAATAAAAACAAGATTTAAAAAAGATATCTAAGTGTAGTTACTAAAAAAAAGGCCACCTAATAATGCAGAAATATAAAAAGAAACGACTTCATCTTGTGTTAGACATGTAGAAACAAATGCGAAATAATTGTAAACACGATATGCATGCATGTGTATTATGATTTGCATGGTTTCATTTCTTTTAATAAGCACTCTAAGTTGTTAATTTATGTTTGATAGAACAAAAAGAATTATATCAAAGCACTTTCGGATTCATGAATAATTTCAATTATCACAATCATGGATTTCTTTTAAGAATTGCTACACTATGTTGCTTCCAAGAATAAAAAGGAAATATTATATTTTCCAGTTACAATTTTATTTGTGCATCAAAATTTTATTGTTCTATATGTAAACCCTATTTATATTCTTCGTTTTTTTCAAATTAATTGTTGCAATAATAATATATCTATTTTAGTTTTGCTTTTTCAAAAATTTATGGCATCAACACTTAAAAAAAATGTTGAGTTATTTCTACTAAACAAACAGATACCAAATCACAACTGATCACACACTCAGAAGAGAAGAAAAAAAAAAGAAACGACTGAATTTTATTTTAGTATTTGAATTAATTATTGTATCTCATTATGTTTTTGGATAATTGCGGGAGCGCATCGATGAAAATGAATGTTGATTATCATTCTAAATAGAATTTTACAAAAATTGACATGATGAGAAAATTGATTTATTCTATGAAAGAAATGTTACTTCATGATAGGATGGTAACGTTGATTTTGGTTGTTGAGTATCGCGTAAACGCATATTGTCATCTCTTAAATCACTAATACGGCTTTGTAAATGTCGAATGAGTGAATCTTGATTAACTTCATCAACGTTATTCGAAGGTATTGATTCAAATTTCACCTTCAGAAAACGAAAAAAAAACCACATTACAATGATATTGTTTTTTTGTAGAATAATTTTTAGAATAAGAACCTTTTTAGGTGATTCGACATAATATGATGTTGGCCGTTCATCATGATGATTCGAACTATTTAATGTCATTCGTTCATCATTATGGTTTGAATTATTTAATGTTATTCGTTGTTTTGTTAAACTGAAAATTTTCCTTCAATAGATGAATATTATAGATATAAATGTAGCAACAAACCGATCAAGTTCAGTTGCAATATGATCTTCAAGTTTTTGTACAAGATTATCGATCGTATCATTTTGTTGAGATGATAATTGAAATGGATTATATGAACTATTGTTAGAACGATTTTCACATGTTTGTGATAGACGATCATTTTCCTAATTAAATAAATTCAATAGAAATAAAAAAATTATTATTTATATTGACTTTTCTATGTTTTGAAAGTGAACTTCTTAATAGTGGTGGTTGTTGTGGTTGACTGTCATCATAGGTTCTATTGGAATAATCTGTTGTCTACAAAGAATATATATATATATATATTATACTGCCATTAAATATGAATCGTAATAAAATCAAATTGATTTACGCGATCTGTTAATACTTTTGATTTCTTTAAAAATTTTGTTTTTGTTTCAATTTGTACTTTTTGTTCAAGTACATAATTACGAATTTCATCGACGGTATCTTGAAGTAATTTCTATTGATAAGAAAAACGAAAAATATATCATGTTGAAACTAAATACAATAACATACAAGTACACTTCGTGTAGGTAAACGTTCGACAATTGAATCTCGATCATATGTAAATGATGAGATGTGCCTTTAAAAATAATATAAAAGACTGCGAAAAAACAAAAACAAATTTCATACGGAATTGTTGCATAAACATGGGATGGACTATCAATAGCCATGAGTAGTTTCTTAATTGAATCTGTTATTGAACGGACACAAGTTTTTTCTGACGCTTCCAAATTAACAAATAATTCATGTTGACGTGCAGCTACATCAGCATTTTCAGTTGAAACTTGATCTAATGTATCTTCTAATTCACGAACACGTTCTTGTATACGCGTAAATTCAGCGTCTCTTTCCTATTTTAATAGTTATCTAATGGATTTTAAAATATCTAATTGAGGTTGAAAAACAAAAAGAAACACCCGAAGACATATTTCCGTCTCAGGAGAAAACTCAACGGAGTAAAACAAAGAAATGCACTCAGCATTTAGAATATGGATATTTATAGACGGAAATTTTTCCTTTGTAAATCATCATTCATCCTAAATGTACTGATAACCCTATTTTTTATTAGAAAGCTTCAAAAATAAGTAGACCACTATTGACTTGAGTGCGATTGCTCGACAAATAAAACGCCCAAACAGCAAATGTTTATTTAACGATGTGAAGAAGTTTGATTATAATGTTTAATCATAACAGTTTGTTTTAATATTTGTATTACGAGAATGTTGAAATCACTTGTGTGAGAAAATATTGAAAATTTCAGTTAATTATTACAATAAAGAATACTCAGTAAATCAAAGATCAAAACTGAATAGAAGGATTCATTAAATCGCGAACATGATGCAAAGCAAACGCAACAATTATCAGGTCGAACGTTTTTACTTTAATCACGTAGTAATTATGGTTTGTAATAGAAGAAATAATGACTAGTGAGGTTATTTTACGGGTTTGTTTTCATCTGATTGTTTTGCAAGTGTGAACATTCTTTTTTTTTCCAAATTATTAATTATATAGTTACCAATCAGGCTGATCTATGACTAATATTAATGCATTTAATTTTGTACACGATATATTAAAATCTAGTTCCTATTGATATTCTAAAAAGCGAGTAATTTTCTTTTCTTTTTAAATGATCGTAAATCCGCTCGAAATACATTTATTTAAGGTTTCGTCTATATCACTTAAAGCGTCTCTATATAATAAATTTGTTCGCCTGAACAGATGTGTAACAAAGAAAGTTAAGATCCCTCTTAAATAAATAGAATTCTTTCTGTTCTCTACATACCAATTGAAATTGATTACGTAGTCGATTAATTTCATCTTGAAATTCTTTTCTGCACTGTTCCTTAGTACCATAAACAGCATTGATACGTTCCCGGCCACTTTCTTTTAACATTAGTTTAGCTTCACTTGATTGCTAAGATGAAATGCGGCAAGAAAAAAGATACAATTCTCTTTCTTATAGAAAACATTTCAAAATTCTACCATTTGTGCATCATATAGCTTTTGTTCAAAACGCTGACAACGTTCACGTTCAATATTCAATTGATGTTGTAAATCTTTTAATAGACGAGTTTTTTCTTCTTCAAATTTTGCACGTTCACCGGCTAATAAAAGTTCTTTGTGTTCATTCCAAACTTTTCGTTCACGTTCCATTCGATCTTCCATCTATTTAAGAACATATTTGATCGCTTTTTTTGAGGCAAACTATTTCAAACCTGTAACAAAGCATTTTTATGTGTTGATGCCAGAGCAATAACTTCATTATCTTTTTGAAATACTAATGCTTTCAATTTAGCGATTTCACGATCTTTCGTCTATATAAATATATGTCACTAATATTTTCAAGATAATGACAATAACATTTATAACAATAGTTCTTACAAGTGAGTTCCAATTAGAACTAGCATTTGATCGAAGAGAAACATTACGAATAAACTTTTAAAAGACAAAAAGCATCAACAAAATTTGAAAGAAAAAAGGCATTTCAAATATCTATTACCGAACTATCAACAGGAGTACACGATGAATGTGATAGATCATTTTGGTGACTTATATCAATAGTGTCGTTTCTTGATTTATTATTTAATAAAAATTTGTTAAATAAATGTTCATATTATATAGCATACCTTAATGAATCGATCGTATCATTTTTTCGCTTAAGTTCATTTTCTATTACACGATATTTTTCGTCGAAAGTTTGCCGTGGACGATGATGATGATGATGGTGATGATGAGAAGAACGTCGCTCACTCATATCTCAACTGTGGTATGTTGGACTTATGTTTTCTTTAATTCATCTCACCGAAATCAGTATGTAAGACGCAGTTATAGTCTCAATAAAAATAAAATAAAAGTTAAGTGAAGCTCTAGATGACGAACTAAGAAAACATCAATAAGTCGATGGTAATGGTAGTAAAATATTTGAAAGCGTGTTGTTGTCGATGTACATTTATTCTTACAGCACACAACCGCAAGTTTGCCGAGACATACACAATATCCTTTCTCGTCTCTCTCTCTATGCGCTCTTTTGTTCTCAACAAAGCAACTCTCTCTCTCTCTCTCTTTCTATCCATCTTTCTTTTACTTTTATTCACATCTTTACTTCTTTTAAAGTGCTACTATGCTTTCACTTTGAAATTATGCTTGTTGTATAGTCAAAAAAAGTCATCTGTGCAGTTTGTCACAAAGAAATTACATTTCAAAGTTCGTACATTGATACTTTACCTTAAGAGAAAAGAACAACTTATCCAATGTGATGCTTTTACGAATAGCTAGCTATTTAAATTCCTGTAAAGGAAAAAAAAGCAATATTGAGACAAACTAACAACCAAAACAAAAAAAAACCATTTTTGATTGGATCTCTTGATCCTGCTGTGTTTTATTATGAGTTTAGTTTTCAGAACACACATGCGAAATGCAAAGAGAGAGAAAAAACGATACAGATTATGTTATCGGACGCACATATATGAGGAATCTACACGAAGAAAAAACCAATGGAATCCGTCACCGTCAGACAACAAAGAAAAAAATGTTTCATTTAAATGTAACTCGTTGAACAGTTGTTGTTGATGGTGGTATCGCTACATCTGATAATGCTCTTCCGCGAATATCATCAGCATCATCAATACTAGTACGATAAACGCTCAAACCACCGAGATGTGTCGTTTCATTATGACTTCCTGTGCTATCTTCAGGTGTTTTGGTGAGATCATGATCATGTTTATCTGATCCACTTCCTAATATGTTACTTATTGTTCCACCAACGATACTGGTCCCTGTTCCGCCATGACGTTGAAATGCTTGCATGGAAAATCGACGATTTTTTCGCCTTTGTCCATGTCGTTTCGTTAAATGTGGATTGTCTTTGCGCATTGTCTTGGTTTTTAAAACATGTAACGATGTATATAAACGTTTTAATTCCGCCTAAAAAAGCAAAACATTGGGAAATGAAAAATATTTTGTTTTCTTCTTTTTTTGTTATAAATTCTTACTCGAATTTCTTCTGGATCCATATCTCGTATATTCAATTCACCAAATTCAATATCACCATTCGATTGTAATTTAGCAACTAAATCTGTTGTTTCAACACCATCAGGTAACGAACGAAATCGATCTCTTCCACTATACTCTTCATGAACAGGTCGAAATATATAACATAACTAAATTAAATAATAGTAACAATTATTTATTAAAATGCAAATAAAATGTTTAGTGTTTTTTTTTATTTACTTTTGTACAAAATATAAATATTATCATACATGTTACTGTACAATGACATCGACAAAATGATAACATAAAAAGAGTATCTGGATGAATTGATGCCCATAAACAATCTCTAGAATGATGAATAGAAGTTAATTTGTTTTCTATAAAATGATTTTCTTCATTTTAAACTTACTTGATAACATGAAGTAATGTTGAGAAAAGCATTTCACAAACGATAACAATAGTAATTAATTTACGTTCATGATATTCACATGGAGCTGTTCTTGTACTATAAATAAAACGGATTCCAACACAAAGAAAAATAAATTCAGCTAAAGAAAAAAATAAATAAATTCAATGAAATTCTGATTTAATTAACAAACCAAATTGAACAAGATAATCCCATGAACGTGGTCGACATGTTTGAAAATAACTTTTATTTTTATAAGTAAAACCATGTCCTAATAAATATTCTTCTAGAGAAAGATCTTCATTTGCGTGATCGATGTTAACAAATGTCCAACCAAGTAAATAGCCAGTGATTGATACAGATATAAAAAATAATATTCGTAAAATATCTTTTTCTTTTACTTGTACACAATGTGCTTTACGCGATTGAAATTCTGCTAACATTCTAATTAAAATAGAAAAAAAGAAATTATTTTTTTGTTTTTTTATAATCATTCTTAAAATTTACTTATAAATGCGTAAGATTAATGTACCGTAAACAATTGTAAAACCAAGTTCACGAAGCCTGAAAAAAATAACAATTTTTGTTCTTTTTTTTTGAATCTATAACGAAAGTTTATGTCTAATTATGAAAAAATGATTACAAATACTTTGATAGTTTCTGAGAGAATATTTAGTCTGGCTTGATTTATGAACTCCTTTTCTATGATAAGAGATGTTCATCAGTTATTAACTTTAATGTTCTTATCAATATATTATATATTCTAGATGATTATTTAACCTATTCGATAGATTTTAGAAAATTTTCTATCTACAGTAGTACAATCTGTCGATATAGCTATATTAGTCATCCAATGTTCAAGTATCAAGTACAAACAATTTAAATCTATATTTTTGATGCTCAGAATTTTTCGTATAAATAGTTATCGGTAAATTTTGATTTATGCTTATTAGTCACAGATAAATGTATTGGATTCCGAAAAAAAAGAAATAATATTTATTTTTGATATTTTTCCTAGTTGCTCATTATTTATAAGTATCAGTATCAATCGATTAATTGACTGACAAAGGTTTACATGTCTAGTCTACATTGCAGATAGGAAGCTTCAATTGATTGTTATCCTGAGGCGCTGTGACGTTTCCATTATCTGGAACGATCTGAGCATCGACTTTTGCTCTCGTATATGGCTAGAATCATGAAATTCTTCGAAAATATTTTGTCGGAGAAAAGAATTCACCCGAGAAATTTTCTGGACAGTTACTTGAAACTAGCGAGAATTACATGTTAATTTTTGACGAATCGAATCAACTCTATCGTGTTAAGAATAATCGAGCAAACATTATTTTATAAGTCAAGTCGAGTGTAATGATTTTACATAACATTTATATTGATAATAGAAACAATAGTAAACTTCCGGATTGAAATTTAAACAGGCAAAAATTCTAGATTTTACACTGATATATTCTCATTTGTTATTTACAATAAAAGTTTATCGTGTTCTATTTATCGACGAAATATGAGACTAATGGATTCGTATTTCGGTAATTTTTTAATTAATGATAGGACTTTGATGACTACTTTGAATACGTTCTTTTTAAGAATATTAAGTTTTCCCTTATCAATGTCTATTGTTCGAGTTCTATGATCTCAATTGGAAAGAAAATTAGTAATCATGTATATGAATAAGAATTATTAGAGATTCTATGGTTGCCTAGTTTTTTTTCGTAGCATAATAAGACTTTCTTACATACCAAGGCATTATTAAACAAACGATTCCATGCGGACCAAAGCTATCAGCCATAACCTAGATAGAATTAATAAAAGACACAGTCAAATTGAATAAATTCTTGTCAAAAAAAAAAAGCATTTTTTTTTCTTACGGATCCATAAAGTAATGCTGCTCCAAGAAGAACTAATTCAAGTAAAATCCACATTGAATGTTTAATAATTTTTATTTTACGTCTTTGAAATATAATAGCAGCAAGTATAGCAACAAAAACAATAAAGATTGATTGAATTATGAAGATTATTGTACGTAGAAAATGATTATGTTTTATTAAACATAAATGGGGATTACATTCACATGTATTGATTTTTGGTGTCGTTGACATGTCATTATTTGTTTCATTCCATTCCAAGTCTTGACCACCAAAAGTTATTGTTGCATTACCATGTGGACCTTTACAATAACATTCATATGCGCCTAATGTAAAACCTTGTCCAGATTGATGATAGCACTAATGAAGAAGAAAAAGAAATTAGATAATAAATAGAAATTTGGTTTTTTTACCTTCATACTATTTGGACATTTATTTGTACCTCCAAAGGGTACATCGTTACTTGCACATTGATTAATATCAACAGAAGATATGTTAAAATAACTGATAAATATGAGACTAGAATAAAAACAAAAGAATGCATAGATATTTATAAGAATTCTTTATTAAAATTAGTATTATTACTGATTAGATAGTGGGAAAATATTTGCCATAATAAAAGTTTCATCTTTATTTTTTGAACATAAAACTGGTCCAAGCCACCAGCCATCTGTAGTTAATATACGTTGTGGATCATTATCTATTGTCTCACGTACGTTTGATATTGTAAATGTTTGTAAAATAGTGTCTTGCTTAATAATATCTTCACTTATTTGTTCATATTCAATTATATTTGATATTGAAGCATTCATGCGCGAATATCTAATAAAATATGATCCAATAGTATCATATGGTAACATTCTCACATCAACCTCTTTTATATGCATATGACTAGCTAATAATATACGTATATCCAGACTAAAATCTTTACGAAATTTTTCTAATGTATCACTATTGATATAATTTGTTGTTTGATTTAATTGCATACGAATCTTTTTTGTTGTCCGTCTTAATGCAAAAATCTCATTTTGCAAAGATTGTTCAATTAAAAGAATAACTTGTGATGCCAAAGAATTTTCTGCTGGCAATCTATAAATTCCATCTAGTGCCATATTTATTGTACAATCAGCTAATACAGATGATGTTGTTCGATGTGATAGTGTTCGACGTAACATAGTTATATAATGTTGTTTATCATTACCATTTGGAATTTGTCTTTTTAGACGATGATTTATTGATATATGAGAATTTTTTGTATGAAATAAAAACAAAAAACTAATTATAAATATAAGAATAAATATGATAAAATATGAATAAATTGATATAAAAGGACAAAATGATTGTTTGGATTTTGAATTTAACATATTATAATTATAAATATAATGTTTTTTTTTCTACTTGAATATAAGTCGATGAAAAATATTAATAGCCTTTTGATTTCATGATGAGATTTTCAGACTAAAAAAAAAAAAAAAACGAGAGATAATTAATAAAAAGTAAAAAAATAAAACATTCAGAATAAAAAATAAAATAAAAAGAAGACTATAAATAAACAATAGAAAATCAAATAATGATTTACTTATTCTGTAGTATGTCGATAAAAAAAAAAGGTTGTTAAATATAAATATATGTATCATAATTTAATGCTTAACTTTGTTTATGACATTAATTTACGCTAGATAAATCTTTATTTTTCAATCAGACTACAAATTTATTTACTTATTTGCTGTTGTAATATTGATTTTCTATCTTATGGGCTGTTCTATATAAGCTATATAATAATGCGAGACTACTCAGTGTCATTGCCGTCATCATTGTCTCAAAGACTAAATCTGTTCCGTCTTTTCTTTTCTCTTTTTTTTCCTTGTCGGCCGTCAACCGAGCGCAAGTCTACTTGCGTTCGTAAGCTCGCTCTATAATTGATCATTTGTTTTTTGACATTCACTTGGCTCTACGTCTGAAAACAATCATTGCATTTTGTGCTGTATCGATCATTAGGACTGATCTTTAGAGTTATCCGTGTATGTCTAATGATAAATGAATATCTAATTTCTGCATAGTAAAAAAAGACTAATTATGTTATGGATAGATAACAGTTTTTTTTCTTCTTTGATTGGATTGTCTTCGTTTGTCTCGAAAAGTAAAGGATATTCTCATCATAATACGATTTATTTTGTCGATTGAAAAGACATGTCCACAAACAATCAATGGCCGTGGTTTAGATGAAAAAGAATAAAATATGAAAAACGTATCGGTTGATAGAAATGATACAATCAATAACATGACTTTAATGAGTATGTGTGTAAAATTACAGGCAAATATTGATAATAAAACTATGGTAAAAATAGAAAAAAAGAATTGTAATCCTGACGATCTATTGGAATCTAAGACAATGACAGATATGAATGCATATGTCTAAAGGCATATGAAATAATCATGAACTATCTATCTTTGTGCTCTTATTTATTTGTTTTTCTATAAATATATTATTGTTGTGCGTTTCTAATATAATCAAAACTTACCGTGAATGATTAGATGTCCATTTTGATGTTGTAATTCTTATTAATATAGAAAAAGAAGGATTAATGTATATATATCTATATCTATCATGCGTTAGCTTTCTTTTTCCTCATTTATTTTAAACTTTTCTCATTTTCTACGCTTGATTTTTCACACTCTAAAGTTCCTTTCTTTCTTCTTTTTTCTTTTTCTGCACCCTTTTTTCTTTTCTTTTTTTGTAGAGATGCAACTGAAGGACACAAGAAGAAGTATCGTTTTATATTGTTTTTTCACATACAGAAATAAATATTCTGTCGATCTATTTATTTTGTTCTACTATACACCACTATCTAAATTTATTGGCAAGCATATAGTCAAATGTGTATACACACGCCTGTCTTTAGACAAGAGAGGAGAGAGAGAGAGAGAGAGAGAGAGAGGCCAACCAAGGAGTAAGGGGCAATTTTTTCGCACTCTCTTGCGCGTATGTTCTAATTCTCATCGGAATTCTTCAGCCCGAGCGCACGGTCGTTTCCTTTAGACGACAACGACTCGAGTCGATACACTACTACTCATAAACATAAATGTAGATTTCATGTTCGCATCGACAGAAAGCTTGGTCTCTACTAGGAAACCAGTACTAGAAACATCTCGTCTTCTACCAGTATTCTCCGGTTTCTTTTTTCTTTATGTTCTTTGCTTTTTCCTTTTCCTTTTTATATACTAAATATATATTTTCTCTCTGATGAGCGTGCAAATGCTTTGGTCGGAACCGACGATAGTCTCTTGCTACTACTACTACTAGTGTTCTTGTTCTTCGACGACGGTGATGCTAGAAAAAATGTCATTTTTTTTCTTTATACTTGCTGTCGTTTCTTGTCATATTTTGGACAGCAATAGCGACGACGTTAGTCTTTAGGGTCCTTGTCTTCTTCGTCTCGTTCTTTTTTCTCGGCTTTTTTTGACGACAATGCGAGAACACGCGAACGCTCGCAGTGTTTAGCGTAAACCAAATGATAATGATGATGAGTGCTCGTTGTTCTTTCTACAGAAAATGAGGCAGACACAGAAAAAAGAAAAGAAAAGAGCTACACAGTTGATAAACGATTGCTTATTCACTATCGTATTAATAATGCTCGACATTCTTAGAAAATGTCACCATCATTCACTATGTATACATTTCTATTGTCAAAATAAAAAGCAAGTTTATATAAATATATACGGATATATATATAAAGATCGTCAACGTGCCATTGTTAATGTATATATCTGTCTAGATTGTAATGGTGTTGAATGACAGATAGAAAAACTTGATAAGAACAAAAGAATTATTCTAAAGATACACATATGTTTGTCTGTTGTTTTGATCGTATATTTTTGTGAGAAATTTATCAAAGAAAGATGTATCTGTTCTTTGCCAACACAAATATATACAGATGCTATCTTCTTTTTTTTTTGCTACTAATATGTTGATATGTATAATATATTCATGATAAACAAATATGAAAAAAAAATGAAGACGAAATATACTCAAAAGAATTTTTCTATAATCAATCATCTTGTTGTTGTTGTTATTGTTGTTGTATTTTGAAAGAAGAACTTTTTATCTATTTAATTGAGTTTTGATTATTTTTTTAATCAATTAATACGAGGATTTGTTGGCTAGTGTATAGAAGAATAGAAAAGAGAAAGAAAGTCAATTGTAGAATTCATAGAATTTTTCTAGTTTCGATTCGATTTATTCTATCTTCCGACGAAGCAACATCGATAAGTATCAATCCACTTGATATTTTGTCTTGAAAAAGAAACAACTAACAAATGTTCTCCGAGAAATCAGTAGATTTAATTTGGTTTTAATCAATAACAACATGTTTTTTCTATTCGTCGCATTGTGTTAAAATCTATTTGTTATGCGTTAGACGAACATTTTTTTACACTTATTATAATAATAATATTATATTGATCCATTATTATGTATATTCAATATAGCACTATTAAATAGATGATTTTAATCGTGTTTACACATGCCGATATGAAATATTTAAAAACATGTATTAATAGCAATTTTTGATAGAACTAATTTTTTTCTTCGATTGTAATTTATTTTTATCGATAAAGAAAAGAAAAGCAAATAATATGTTTATCATATTCAAAGACGTATACTATAAAAAATATATTGCTTCCTTAAAAAGAATTGCTTTTGTAATTGGAATGTTTTGATGGGAAATACTAATGATTTCACTGGAATGCATCGTTACATAGTAGCTAATAATGAAAAAACGATGAAATTACATTTGAAAATTTTCTTCTTATCGATCTATAAACATTGGCCTTGTTCAATTTCTCGAAAGCACGTCCTATAAAGGATTTAACATCATAATCTAGTAAATAACAACATATGTGACAACTTTCTTCGCTATCTAAATTAGATTCAAAATCAGTGATGAGAAAACATCTAGACCTATGACAGTTACATATTAGTTTCGATCTTAAGAACTGTTGGAAGAGTGCTTTTGATAGAAACTGATCTATTTCAAAAGTTCTTTTGAGCAATTCATCTGAATTAATGAGCTTTAATTGTTGTCAATCTAAAAGAAGAGTTCACTTCTCAATAAAGATTCGGTTCATAGAATTAGACACTGTCATAGTTCTAGAACTAACTTAAACTATTGGGATATTGTTTGATTGTATACCGTAATTATGAAGAATAATTAAGATACATTTTTATTTATTTGAAGGTATAAACTCGATACATTTATCTCTCATTATCTTAAGAATCACAAATGACACATTGTATTACTGATTTCAGAGTTTTCTCTCGTTGATTGAAATTGTAAATAGTTTTAAAAACTTTTTTCATCTGATGTAATGAGATTAAATTATTGTAATTCCAAGAAATCAGCGGAAATCATGCATTATTCTAATAAATATGAATAGTATTTACTTATTACATTAATGCGTAAACATTGTGGTTTTTACTGAAGTGTCGATAGATAGATAGATAGAACTAGAATGTAAACTCATGAGAGTGATATTCAATGAAGATAAGACTCAAGTGAATTCAAGAAGAAATCATTTATGACCAATTTCAAATATATCTATGCAATAGGAAAAAGCTGCACAAGAATTTATTTTTCTATATTTTGAGAGCCTAACTCGAAGCATTTGTAGTTGATAGTGTTTACTCATGTGCTAATCAAGTATTGAACTTGTATAAAAACCAGTCTCTAAAATTAAACGCCTTGACATGAGAAATAAATAAATAGGTTTTATATATTAATATAGAAACATTGTATTGATCCAATCACTCATTGACGACAGATTTTACTTCTGTTTTACTTATAATTTAATTATATTCTTTTCAATAGTAGTCAATGTACATAATTCACTATTCTAATTCCATGACCCAATGGAGCAATCCTCTTTCATGTTAAAAGTTTCTTTCTTTTGGAGAAAGACTAGTAAAAATAACAATTTGGAAAGTTTCAAGGATGCTAGACTTTGATGAGCAAAGAAAATGTTACGATAGACTTTCAAATCAAGAATATTTTTCTATTGCAGTTATTAATCTTGGAAGACGAAAAGAAAAATAAACTATCCGTGACAGGCAGTCTCGGCTTGTTTTATCGTTAGAAAGCTCATCTTTCAGTGCATTACTTATTGAAATATCTTCAGCAGATCGAAAAGAAATTTTCATTAACTATGAGTCTTACATTTTAATCTAATAGAAAATCAGTCTCTTATCTGTTTACAACCACTAAAGATTAAGACATAGTGTGAAATGTAAGAGTATTTGCAAATCTTTACATGCATCACGATTCTTCGATTGACCTGTAGATGAAAAGCTGCTAGTCAATGAAACTTTTAATATAGGAAAATTGAAGACTCCTTTCTTTTCAATTGCCAATCGATCAACGAACATCTTGACTAGTCCTTCAAAACCTCTAATCAACTCCAACATAGGCAAATATCGACGAAAATATTTTTAGAAATACTTTCTAATTGGCATAGTGTAGCAATCTTAGTTATACTACATCAATAGCAAAAAAAGAATTACATTCGTAGATACTGAAGATTTGTAAAGAATTGCATTGCGTGTGTATTCATGCAAGAATTTTCAACACGCATAATTGCATTTAAAAAAACGATTTGAATTACTGTCGATGACAAGTTTTATTTTATTGAATATGGATCAAAATTTATTTCTTAAATAATATTAATAAAATGGCAAGATATTAGTTTAATAGTACAAAAACAAATCATGAAAAAGTATTTTTAATATTGTTCGACATGTTTACAAGAAAAATAATTGGTAGAACTGTTTAGATTTTAAATGAATATGGAATATTTAAGGTGATTCTGATTTCTCTTTATCATCTTTTTTTTTATCAACTCGAGATGAACGAGTGTTTCTTTCAGCATCTTCTTCATCATCTTCTTCTTCTTCGCGTCTTGTAGTTTCTGAACACATATAATCTGATGATAAATTCTTGAACTTATAAAGATCTTCGGAATTTTTATCAGTATAAAGAGCAAGTTTTTTTGTTGCGAAACCGTAACTTCGGTTTGAAGCACCTTCTGGTGCTGCAGTAGCGGCAGCCCCACTAGTTGATGATGCTCCAGTAGCTCCACCAGTGATGAGACGTGATATTCGACCTAATAGAGACGGATTTTCACCTGATTGTGGTGATGCTTTGGATATAGGAGTTCTTTTTGCTTTCGATGCAACGACATAAGAATTTAATTGATCACTTGTTTTCTTCCAACGTCTAACAAAAATAAGCCAAGATTATTTAATTTTGGAAAAGAAGAGAAAAAGATAAAAGAATAAATTGAATTCTAAAATTTTAGATTAACTTCGAAAACTATTTATTAGCAGATAAACTTGTCAAACGAATTTGAAGATATTTGAAAAAAAAAACAGTTATATCAAACAGAAAAAAACATTTCTACTGTTTTTAGGAAACTTTATGTATCTACTGTTGTGTTTGAAAATGTTTTCTCATTTAGATAAAATCTTTTGTAAAACATTTGCGCTTTAATTCAAAAAGCTAGCATTAATTTTCAAAAGTATTTTCATACAAATCTCGTCATGATGATTTGACAAATATTTACTAAGATAGAAAATTGTTTCAATCGATAGAAATCTTTGTGTCTAGTCTACTGTAGTTGGTATCTATCATTAAGGTAAAAATTTAAAAAAAATAGCATGTCGCCAAATTTTTCAACTATTTTTTTTGTCTTTAAAAATTGTTTTACCTTTCATTAAATCCATCAGCATCATCAACTCGCTCGACGCGTTTTCTATGTTTCAAATTTTCCATATAAGCCATACGTTGTTTTTGCATTATAGGTTTTGACCATTTGGAACTTATACGTTCTGCATCGTCTTCGTCCTCGTCATCATCTCCTTGCCTAGAATAGAATTTATTTGTTAATAAAGAAAATTATATTATACATTCATTAACGAGAGCTTACATCATATATGTAGCTGTACTTCGGATGTGATTTTCAGCAATAACACCACGATAAGCATGTACTTCAGCTATTTCTCGTCTCTCTGTTGCTTCTTTGACTTGTGTTAATACACGCAATGCTTTGCTGCCGTCAGCAGCCGTGTAAATAACTTGTACTTGAAATGGTAATTCTTTTAACTGATCAATATCAATGTTATATTTCTCTTTCAGTTCTTAACGAAGACAGATCAGTTAATTATTCAAATACATATTTTTTTAAATTAAATCAACAAACCTTCCTTCTTTCGAATACCAAATTCAAATGATACTTCAGTTTGTTTTGTTACATTGCCCACATTGCGTTTTATTTTTTCAAGTTTGCCATCGGGATTCTCAGGATCACGTATGTATAAACCCCGATGAACAATTAATGTTGCTTCAACATTCGATGCTATTACTTTTTGTTCAAGTATTGATGCAAATTCATCACGAATATTTAATAAATCAACAATTGTCACACTGCCACTAGTACCATCAGCCTACATGAACGAACATAAAGGAAAATGAATAGGAGAAAACTAAAAAAACACAATATTTTACTATACCATTTGTCCAATGACAGGAAGTAAACAAGCAGTACCTATACGTATGAATAAACAATAATCATTTATAAAAAAAAAAAAGAGCACAGCAAATAGGTAGCAGTTTATTAGAACTGGTATTAGAGAAAATTTTAGACGGAAAATAAAAGAATCTTTATTTTAATTAAGGGCTAGATAATAAATGAGCTTCAGATCAAAAGATTTTCCTTTTTAGTTTCGACCCTGTATGCAAATCAGCAGAGACTTATATTTGAATCGAAGAATCTTTCTTCGAAAATTTACTGCTCTTATTTATTGTTATTTTATGTTAAATGCTCTCTCAAAATATTTTACACAAAGTTTAATTCAACAAATGACTACTTAAAACTAGATAAAATAGCAATTACCTGAAATAGTAATGACCGAAATGCTAACACCTTTTTCTCTTGCACGTTCGGTTACTAAAAACAAAATAAAATACAACTAAGTTAAGAGACAACAAAAAACACGATTGAATATTACATCCAGCATAGAATCGATTTCCTTCAGTAAGAGCTTCCATTTTAGCAGCTTCTTCAGCTTTCTCATCTTGTGCCGTTTCCAAACTTCCCAAACCTCGATTTGCTAAGCCTGCAATAAAATTCTTAATACAATAGAACAAATTCGACATTATAATTCATTACCATCAGTGCAAATAACAAGTTTTGATCCTTGTCGTTGTGATGCAATATTAAGTGCAAACATCACAGAAGGACCAAGTGCTGTTTGGCCACCCTCTTCGAGATCATAAATTCGTTCAGTTAGTTTTGCTTTTGTTTCAGAAACAGGCTTTAATTCCTTATCTAATTCACGTCCAGCTTCACGCAGTAAGTCATCAGCACTATTTAATTTATCACCACGTATAACTAACGGTTCAGTTCGTGTACCATCACCTAAAATGTATTCAAACAGAATTTAAATAAAGTTTTAAGAAAAACAACGATGAACTAACCATAATAAGTAATTTCATGATTGAATGTTAATAAAGCAGCACGTCTCGTTGGTGTATCTTTAACAAGTTTATCTAAATTAGCATCAACAGCCATTTGCACTCCTTGCAAACGTGATACATAGGTTTGATGACGCTCTCGCATCATACGTGCACCATCAAAATTTGCTGCGGCACGTTGTTGTTGTTGACGTACATTAGGCAAATCAAGTCTGCCTTGCACTAATGTGGTCGATGACATTGAGCCACTAATATCAATTAAGAACATAACAATTGAGTCATCGACACCAGTCATATCTGAACCATGGACAACAGGCGCTGGCGAAATTAAATATGTTGAATCCTCTTTTTTAGGTAAATCAGTTTGTTCAATATCGACTATATTTGACTTCGGACAAAATTCACATTGCCATTTTGATTCTTCATTTTCTACATGTTGAATTTTACTTAAGTGCGAAGCAATAGCACCACAATCAGCACAATATACGGGATCACCAGCATGCATTTCGCCTAAATAATACAATGAATATTTGATAATTCTTATGAAAAGATAAGAACATCGTGTTTTAATTACCGGGTTGAAGTAATCGATCGAATTTGACGCTAACTACATTTGTATCAGCTTTTCGTAAACGCTTCTTCCGTTGAGCATTAGTAGAAGACCCATAAGTAGTAGAAGCAGCAGCCGCTGCAGGAATAGGAGGAGCAGCTGGTGATTCTCGTTCATTGATCTCTTTCCTAAAATAAAAAAGACATTGTATTAAAAAATTCTTTTTCATTTGATAATGCTATTCTTATTTACCGATCTGAACTTCTTAGTTCATTAATATTGCTCTTAACAGGAGCTATTTCAATTTCATCATCATCAGATATTGATTCATCAGATGAATGTTCGTATTTGTAAACGTATTTTGATCCGAAGAACATGATTGAAATGTATATCTACAAAATCAAATAGGCAACAAATTCTAGATGTACACAATCCACAACTTTCTTTTTTGCACTAGGAACAACAACTAATCAATGTGAAAAGAAAAAAACCAAAATGAAGCAAGGAAGAAGGAGAAGATACGACAAAAACAGGGTTTTTTTTCTCCTTCAATTTTCTTCACAATGATGCAAGTCTATGAGTCAACAAAAAGGAATCATACACGACGTCGACAACACAGCTCAGGTCAGTGATTACTCATTCTTTGTTCGTAATAAGTGACGATAAAATGATAAGGTCGTAATAATAAATATAATATTTTTTCCCTGAGCAACATTATTCATAATCAATATAAAAAATATTCTCGATTGAGAACAGTTTGAAACTATTCTCATACGATGACAGTTGAATTTTTATACCTATAATGTTTTTCAAGTTATTCCATCTTGCTGATAACATTTGTAAGATCGAATAACAAATATAAAATTTATATTTGACTGAGTTAAGCATGCTTTCCATGTGTATCTAATATCAAAGATTTGCTTTTTTCCTAAATTGAAAGCTTATTTTTTTCTATAGAATTCCTACTTTTTCTGATGAACCATGAAATAGACTGAACATGTTATTATATCAATGTCAAACTATAAAACAGTGCAATTATTTCAAATAAATTTAGCTAACCAGATGAATTTTGCACAATATTTTCAAAGCGATTGTCAAGAAAATTACATCATTACATTCGAACGTATCATGTAATCATCAGATCGAAAAACTTGTTCAATTGCTATCAACTCAAAACTAACCTATCTGATTTGTTCTATTCATATGGTATATTATACTTTACCGGAGACCCATAATTTTGGTCGAATCCACTGGGAGAATTCCGTAACAAGCAAATAGAGAGAGAATCTATCAGCCGGATGCAGGTGTTTAATGTAGATTTTTTTGTTTCGAAATACTCTAAAATCATTTTCGTAAAATTTTCAAAATTTCAACTTTAGCTGCAATACAATGTTTGTGAAAAGAAAAATGAAATTTTTTAATATATTACTGTTTCTAGCATAAATTGAGATATAACACAGTCAGTTTCTTGAAAATTATTTAAAAAAAACACACCTGCGAAACAACTTACCTGATTAGTCAATCATTGAATCAATGAAATTTAATCTTATTTTATGGTTTTATTAGACTTTTTACAGCAGCGAAATCTGCATGTCTCTATCTTACTAACATGGGAATTTTCTCAAAATAACCAAAATTGATATGTATACTTGATGGTCAACATGGTGATATTGATTTAGTTACAAATGTGGGATCGACGAACAACTGTTCAGCAATGAATCATGAGGTGTTTTGTTAGATCTAAAATAATATCCAATATTATTATATTTAGTTGAAAAACATGTACGCCAATCCTAGTCATTACAGAAAAAGCTTACTATAGAATTCTCCGTATCAAAATTAAAAATCAAATTATCTATTTAAAGAAGATTATGGATACAAACAAACATTTCAAAATGAACGTATCTCTATCATATATAATTTATTTATAGAAAATTTCAGATTTCATATAGTATATTAAATTATACATTGATGTGAAAATCTTCAGCGGATAATCAAATTCGAGCAATGAGAAGGATTGCATAAGAACACAACATTGAGATTGAATATAAAGTCGTTATTTTAATAACAGAAAGTCTAATGTACATGACTGATAGGAATGGAAAAACTCAAACACATTTGATGGACTTACATGGCAGATGCCAAATAAATACGTTTCGTGGGATAATTCAAAGAGAGGCAAGAGAGAGAGAGAGAGAAAGAAAGTAAATTATTCATAAAGAAGGAAGGGGAATACTCAAAAGATGACTTGTGAATTATTACCTAATAAATCATTGAACCTTTATGAATCTTACTAAGTAGACTATGCTCTAGTAGACTAATGCAGTAAATCAGCAGTTACTTAAGATTAGTTAAATTTTTAATTGAAAGAATAACTGTGAAAAAACAAAACAACTGTTTTCGTCTGTACAATACAAGATAATTGCCATTGTTCTCGATCGAAAATAATTCTAGAGTAGGAAGTTGCTTGAATGATTGAGTCACTCTAAATCAGCATGATGCAGACCTTCACGCGATTGCTTCAGTTTTATAATATTGTTCAATCCGACTTGTAATTTCCGCTAGTAATAGAAATAGCTCATTCAAAGAGTATAATTTATTAGTAAATTTTCAGATATTTTTGTTTTTTCTCTCTCGTAACATATGACTTTGAAAAACGTACATCTATTATATTTCTCCTATGCATAGGTAACAGAATATCCGCTAGTTTTCCTGTAGATTATACACCTTCATCGTTGCTTTTTCGTAGTAAATATATCAAGTCAACAATCAGCTTGCGTTGTATTTATGAGATAACCCCGTAATATCTGATTGATCGATGCACGAAAAAATGCAATGTATCCTTAGCAATAAGCTAGAGCGATACACTGTTTTCCAAGTGTAATTGTTACTTTTTAAAGTCTAAATTAGTCTTTACTCAAAAATAATGAATTAGCTGTGAAACGTTTCTCGTTAATGAATCATTAGTAGATTTATTTCTATCTAAATGATTACAATTGTAGATATCTCGTTGAAAGCATTTAATATAAAACATCGATACATTTAAGGTAAATTTATCAAGCTTTATAATTATAAATGATTCAATGATAATAAAGAACTGATCTTCATGTATCTTATTATAATTCTCTAAACAACAACAAAAAAAAATCCTTTATTCTTTCAATTGAATGCATATAAACAGTCATCAGGCTTTAAATTATTTTTCACGGCACCAGCTTTAAGTGGATCACATGTTTGTTTTTTATTGCTTGAAAAAAAAAATAATCTCTCAAAAACAGGACTACACATACTTATGAAAAAAGTATTTAAAAAAATGTTGAAATGAAAAACAGGTAGTTTAAAATAAATAATTAATTTGTTGCATTGATCGAATCAAGTAATAAATATTGTTTTGAAAATTGATTTAATTCACTATCAATGTTATCAACTTGTCTTTTAAGTTTTTTTCCTTTGTCAAAATAAGATTTTAAATGGTTGATTTCATTTTTGATTTCTTGTATATTATCTATAATATCATCTTTTTCCATAGCAACATAATGTATTGTTTGAGCAAAGTACATTGATAATTCCTGTTGAACTTGAGCACTTGCATTACCAGATGTTAAATCAACAATTAATTTCATTTTTGCTGACGCATAATCAGCATATTGACGTTTAAATGCGCGTTCTTGCGCTTTTTTTGTCCACATTAATCTTTCATAAATGTAAAAGCCACCATAAATACCAGCAACAACACCAACCATTTTCCATCCAACACTACGCGATATTAATGCCACAGCACCTAATCCAGCTAAACTAGACTTTGTTGTTAATGCTGTTATATTATTTGTTGTTGTAAGTAGATCATTTGATGAATTGACTAGTAATGAAGAGTTATATTTCGATTCAGTCTGATTTTTAACAAAACGTTCCCATAATGACGTTAATCCTAATGAAAATTTAAATTTAATATCTTCATGAAAATCTAAACATAGATTTGAACAATCCAAACGATATGATACAGCAAAGTCAGAACGTGGTATGATGGAATCAACAGATGATCGAAGTTCATTAGTTGATAAGATTGATTTAACACGTTCTTTTATTTCACTGTGAACAATATCTAATGAATTATATAATGCTGTATGAAGACGATTTTGTAAATTTGAGCCAAGTCGTCCATCAAGCCACCTATGTAAATCTTGTTTATATAGTGGAAGTTGATCACGATCTGATGAAAATGGACGATCAAATTCTTGAATTAATGTGTACAGACTAGAATATTAATAAATAAATAAATGAACTAACTTGATTTGTATTTCATTCATAAAAGCTCTATGAAAATCTTAAATAACTCAAAAATTCCTGCTATATCAACTACTTTTAAGCTTTAAAATAATTTTCTCCGGATAGAAATTGTCCAAAAATGTATACATCTCAAGTCATTAGTAATAATTTTTCTTATAGAAAGCGAAATATGAAGAAATAATCTAATTTCTTATTTCCATAAGGTGAACAGCTCTTATGTTCTATTGTAATTGCAAAGATTTTGCTTTTGATGAATGCACAAGAGAAAAAATTTAGTGGTATTTCAATAAATGAATTAACCTTTAAAATGCCGAAATCCTAGATATGAATCACCGAATATTTCCCGATGTATCACTGAATATATTGTTAACAACTAAATGAACCTACCGTTTTATTTCATCATTTAAAGTTTGTGACACTCTTTTATAAACATCTTCTGCTACATATCTAATTTTTTCTTTGGCTACATCAGTGATTGAGATTAATTCATTTTCGACAAAAGTATTTCTCTCTTCCATTTGAATTAATTTTTCACTACTTTCTTCTTTGATTGTTTGTGATTTATTAATTGTATTCGTTATTGTTTCAGATATTAACGAAAGAATTTCTTTGCCACGATTTGCATGCTGTTCGAACTTTGTTTGTACAGCAGTTTTTGATATACATTTTTCAAATTCATGTTCAAATTTATTAAAATCAGCAAGACGTTCTTTATGAGCTAAAGTAAGAAAAATTTAATTACTGAATTCTGGGAAAAAACATTCATGCAAACCTTTAGTAAATCCACTTTTTGATGAACTACTTAAATCGATATTTCGATTCGATAAAGCTTCACGTGCTGAAATAAAAAACATTCTATGCTCAGCAGCTTCTTTTCGTTGATATAGATTTAATTCATCGCATAGAAATTCTAAACCTCGATCAAGATGTTGTTTTTTCACCTAGATAAAGGAGAATTTGACTAAAGAACGAATTAGAAATTGAAATATCTATTTACCAAATCAACCATTTCAGGTTCATCGTCTGTTGCATCCCAACGATTCATTAAAATAAATATATTTGGATTTGATACACGTGTGGCAACATTATGAAGAAATGTTTTTTCCTAATTTATTAATGAATAGTTATTTACGATAACAATTGTTCATACTTACAGCTATGGTGATTGTTGCTTCAGCTGATACAACAAGTATAAATACATCTGCATCTAAACAATACTTTTCAATCCATTGATCAAGATTAGCTGATACATCGATACCAGGACTAAAAACAAACCATATGCTATCAATGAATTATATGAAAAACCTTTTCCGTCAGTATAATCTCGATGAATGTATAGTTTGATGATAGGAAGAACAATGATCGAATGAATCGAATAAAAAAATTATTTGAAATGTTAAAACATTCATTTTTTTAAATTATCTAATAGTAATCTAATATGATGATGATGATGATGATGATGAAGGAAACAGTAGCATCTTCAATAGAGCTGAGCGTCAGAAATTTGTTAATGATCGGTTTTGGGAGAAAATATTCAGTGAAATATTCTCCCTTGAGTCTTTCATTTATGTTAACTCTTGATTACGAACTATTTTGCTTCATTGATTAAGCACGAAGGTCAATGTTACAGAACTCGTTCAACATCTACTATTTGAAAGATCAACTTGAAAAACATTCTAATTTATTGGTGACATTTGAAGATAGTCTTTAGTTGAGATTGTTAACCCTAGTGTTCATCTGACCTAATATGTATGGCACTTATGCAATTGAGTATTCGTGCATGATAATTTAAATATTGCACCATTTACATGTAAAAATGTATCATCGAATTTCTGCTCTATACTTTCGATTTGGTCTAACATGATAATTTTCAACAATTATTTGATCACCATCTGATTCATAATTAAGGATCGACTTTTTCTATTTTACTCATCTGACTTTATGTTTATCACAAAACTGATAACATATTTCCCTTAAATCGAATTATATATACTAATTATGTTAAATGATATGTTTTCCCGTCGGTGCTTACGGTGTTGACATTTTCATTTCTATCCTGACTTCTATCTCACGGATGTCTTTGCTCTTAAATTAAAAGAATATGTCCATAATAAAAAGCACACCCTATCTGTGACTGATAAATGTAGAACGATAATTAAATTGATGGTAGCAGATCATTTTCGTATAGAATACACGACAAAATAAGAATAGTCTACAACGGAACATTCATCATTCAATCAATTTGATCTAAGCAAAACTCTCAAACATTAATTGGAATGCAAATATTTTATCAACAATGTAGAAGATTTAGATTCTTAGTATATCTATTTCTGAATACTAGTAAAGAACAAAAACGTTCTATAATTCATGAATACAATTTTACTTGATATTTAATTTCGAGGTATTCAATAAGATAGACGATTAAAAATTGACCAACATGACGTGATGATCGTTTCAAAATAGATTGTCTGGGTCATATTTTCAGTTCTACTCAGTTAAATGTCTCGCTTCTATGAAAACATTCACTCATTTAATAGGGAGTTTAGATTTGGAAAACAATACTTCCGTGTTGACAACAGCGGGACATGCTCTTTCAAATGGCACACCAACAGTCATTGGCGACATTTGACAGAGATGTTATAGTGTCTCAATTTTTAAGAAGTAATTCAAGTCGCAACTTCCTCGCGTTGTTCTATATTTGTGTAACAGATAATTTATTAAATTTTCTTACTTTTGAAAAGACTCTTATTTGAAACACGCAATTTTTTCCAAATTTAGATTTCCGCTGTGTGCGTGATTTTTTTTAAAGTAATAAGAAATATAACTCAATACAACTGAGAATATTTTAAAAATTTTATTACGAGTATCTATTCATAAATATTTTAATACTAGCATTACTGATATATGCTATAGTATAGACCTTAACTTAAAGTCTAGAAATTGTTTTCAACTACTTTACTAGATGATATTTCTGTATCTTTTTTGATTGTGTTTTATTCTCTTTAGACTAGAAACTAAATGAAAATCACATCTAATAACGATGACTAAATTTGCTAGAAAATATTTTCTATTTTCAAGTTCATTTATTATCGAACACCACATGCCATCGATAGTTTTTCTTTGTATTTCACACAATGTGGCTTTTATAGAACAATATTATTTTAAGACGAAACAACAACAGAACGAAATAGAAATTTGAATGTGAGAATGGCAAAAACAATCATACTATTTGTGAATGTTCTCAATATTTGATTATTTTTCCTGAAGTACTTTTGCGTTCAACAAGTCTTATCTTGATAATACTGTGATGCGAACATTTTTTTCAGTTGCTCGTTTCCTTAAGCTTTACTTATTGTGACAATTTTAAAAAAATATTCGTCTAAGATGACCTACCTGTCGACTAGAACTACATCATCTCGAATAAGATGACACTTTTCTTTTGGCCATAAGATTTTGACCAGAGAATCCGAATCAACTTTTTCTCTGGATAAAGCATTGCCAATAGTACTCAAATTCTAAAAGAAAATAAATATTAAAACAAAACTAAAATAGTTCTTTGAAATTTCTCTTGCTTACATTTATATTCTTTGGTTCATCACATCCTGGTATTAGAACTGATGCTTCGATTTTATCTGTTCCTTCAATCTAAAAAAGTAAAATAAGATTTATTTTTGATCGAATACAAATCATGAAGAAAAATTAAATCTACTTGAAGAAAACAATTCGTTGTATGTCCCATTCCGACTGGTAATATTCTTTCTCTTAACATTGCATTCATAACTGTACTTTTTCCATTACTTGTTCTAAAATAAAAGGTATTTATTTATTAATCAGACAACATCTATTAAACTAACCTTCCGAAAAAAACAACTTTCATATGATCACGTGAAATAATTGATAGTATCCGACTAACTTTTTCTTTTAAATGTTGTATTTCTTTATATTTCTCATTGCTTATTAAATTTCGATCAGATTTAATCACATCTATATAGAAATTCAATAAATTGTATTGTTTTTTGTTTAAAGAATAATCAACTAACCACTAAGATATATATTCGAATCATTGACATATGACGTGATATTTTTAAAAATATCTGTGATTGTCGTTTTGGCATGAGTAAATAATTTCAATGGGGAATTACCGTCTAAATAAAAACAGAAATAACAGAGGGTTTGAATGCATTATGGATTTACTAATTATGTTATTCTGACGAATTGATCCATATGAAGTTGGTTTTTCACGTATAAGACTGTCGGACATAATTATTTATCTAAAACAAGTAAAGTAATCACCTGAGAGGACAGTACGAATTATCAATGAATAATATTACGTAAGCGAAATTTTTCGCAAGAAAAACTTCTTGTATTTACCGTTGTAGTAAATGGTTTCATTATCTATTGTTGCTTTCAATGATGGAAGGCTTTTAATATCCAGGAACGTAACTCAGTTTCTATGGCAGGCGATGTCGCCCCCCTAAAAACACAGAGTTTTTGATTTTGTTGACCAAAAAGAAACAAGATTTTGAAAGAAAGGTATGGGCATGAGTGTTGCGGCCCCCTCCCCTATCTGTGCCCCTGTTAATATCTTCTGTTTTATTTTAATTCTGACAACTCATGCTAAATTTGTGTTATAATAGAAGATAAACTAGCATGCTAATTATAAGAAAAATATTACTCATGGGGGTTATCTTGAAGAAATAGCTATTGAGATTGCTAAGTGAATACCTATATTTAGCGTAAATATAATGAATAATATTTTTTATTCTATAACATGAAAATAAGGTCAACATGTTTCTTAAATACAGTAGCCATTGATACAAAGTGTGATAGACAGTACATTACATGATGAAATCAAAGTCTGAAATTCAATCATTCAATCATTCTATCATTCGACATTTTCTATCCAACGACGATCATATGTAAGAGGGCGCCAGACTATGTTTGAAAACGATACAATATTCATTTTACAAAGAACAGAAAACAAACAAACTGGAGAGACATGATGACGAATCGGCGTGTATTGTATTGCTTTTTCTTTCTTGTCTATTCTTCCATGACCGTTAAAACTTTGCGGTCCACAAAATCTGGAATCGAGAATCGAATCGGAGCCGGAACCGTAGAAAAAAATCGCCAAAAGAGCTAAAGAAACCGCGGAGCCGTTTCTTTAATATGATCGCTAGCATCAAGTTTTTTCAGCAGATAATTTAAAAAAGAAATGATCCACAATGCATATCACACACAACCTTATGCTTGTCCTTAGATGCGAATGTGAATGTTTTGCTCAGTAGCATCCAAAAGCATGGACAATGCAGTATCTACCCTAATTTGTAGTCAGATTGCAATAACTGAACGATTCCACGGTTCCAAATAACGTTTTTAGACCCGATGTTTTCGAATGATTTGGAATCGCAGACCTCTATACCGTACATCTTCGAAAACAACGACAAAGAGCCAGGGAAGGAATCGAAACTTCAGCTCTCTAACTATAATCAGGCGCATCGAAACCCTGCGCCATCCCTGGCAACTTTTTTCATAATAAAATAAAAGCCTTCCTCGATAAGTCAAAAGTTAGTAGGAATAAGTTGAGTTTTGACCTGAAATGTCATTTGAAGATATTTACATCTATAAAATATTTTCTTTATCACGAAAATCAGTTTTCTTTTTCTATCGAGATCAATGATTTCTGATTGATTTTAATTTGAAAACTTTCAAGTATATTTTGAGACAGTTTCGGTCGAAAAATCATTATTTGAGGTCATGGACAAAAATTTGAAACAAATTCGAATTCACTTAACAAAAGCAAGAAAAAGATTATGAGTTTTATTTTTCATCGATGTTTTGATAAATTAATTTTTATTATTATAGAGATATTTTCTCAATAATAAACAACAGTGTTTGTGCTTCTGTTGCAGAGATGTTCACAGGGCAGGGTAAAAAAGTAAATTATGCCCTGCCCTGAAACAGGACGGGATATATCAGGGAAAATTGCAGGGCATGGCGAGGTGAAAGTTATATCCTGCAACGTAAAAACCCAGTTGTTTGAATTTCCGTTTTGAAGAAATGCTTTCTTTAGTTTGCAAGATTCAAAAATAAAATTAGACTCCAGTGAGCGACACCAACTGATAATCAGAAGTTCCTCTATCTGACCCAGTCCATATAAGCCACGACTCATTCCAACAGAAGCTGCTCAATCGATGGTTGCCAATTTTACTCGTTATTTTACGCTCGATAGGAACAAGTGTTTCATGACTTTCTACGCAAGCCGTTTCAAAATATTTTCTTCTGTTCTTGAGATAATAAAATTTTTCTAAGAGAATCCTCATCAGAAAATAACATTTTGTGATTTTTTTCTCAAACCTATATCTCTTCAAGAAAATTATTTTTTCGCTTGAAGTTTTTACTGTATGTGCATCTTCAGTTGAGATATTTTTCCTTAAATATGAGCTCAACTCATCAATAATTCATCCGTTTGAGTTTATATTTAAAAAAAAATATCTCAACTAGCGAAAGATCTACATTGGAAATTTCAAGCAAAATGAATGCACCTGTAAAAAGATTTAAGTCTCAAAAAACAAATTATATCGTAAGAATAGAGCAAGATTTTTTTAACCATTGATTGAGCAGGGTCGGCCGTGGCTTATCTGGACTGGCTCTAAAAATAAAAAATGTTCTATGCTACAATGAGAAAAATGTCTTTTTGTTTTGAAATATATTGAAAATTACAGTACAGGCATTATTTTGATTCAGCAGGGCAGGGTGAATTTCAAAATTTATGCTCTTACTTTCAAAAAAGCAGGATAGAACAGGACAGGGTGCAAAAAATCACCCTATGAACATATCTGTTCTGTTATTATCTTTAATAACAACCAAATTTAATTCTAATAACCGACGAAAAAAAAACTGATGTTGTTCATATCATCAGCTCCTGCTGTTTCGTAATAAAATCAGAAAATGTTTGATTAATAAACGTAGTCCTCCAACTCACTGCTGTCAAGATATATTGAAACTTCTTGTCGGAGCTACCCAGGTCGTAGCCGGAGCCGGCAAAATCCGTGGAATTCCTGTTGGTTTCCTGACGCAGTTTTCCACTGAATTCCGGTATGCTTCAGCATCCGGATAGAATGTGCAGATCTTATTCTCGTTTCCGGGATGCTTCTGAATAAATGATGCGGCAGTTTTTCATGATAAGCGGGTATGTGCTGTATCCTGCGAGTTCCGGTACGTCGATCCCAGCGTTTCTGGTCCCCGTATTATGCTGTTTCCGGTATCTGGATTCCGTCGTCTGCATCACCAGTAGCAACGTAACTAGAAATTTGAGGGTGGTGCTGAGTTCTCACACTACTTTGGAACTCCTTTTTGCACTAACCATTTTTATGTGCTTCGAATTCAAATTGCTAAATTCTGAACTTTAACTTCATCTTCAAATTAAAATTTTATTTGTAATTACACATGAGGGTATGGATGTGGGACCATGCCCCAGAGAAACAGTGATTCACACACACCCACACCCATTTTTTCGACGTTACTAGAGGAGATTAAGAAGGTTTTCTGGATGAATCTTCTTAGATTTTGAGTTTTAGGTCACTGATTTCTGCGACAGTAGGATATTTCCTGTCCAGTTTCACCACTGTTCTGGAAAAGCTACCCTATGAACATATAAAAATAATCGTACTTTTTTCACCTAACTCGTCCAGACAAAGAAGATTGGCTCGGTGGACCATCCTGATTTTGAGTTTTTAGTCACTTGATTCACTCAGCATTGTCGAGAAAAGGAAGTTTATCCAATGATGTAGCTTGCTAGCGTTTCTTTTTATCAATGCCTACTAGATCGACGATATTATTTATTAGTTAACTATCGTATGTTGTATCAGTTGGTGACTAGCAGACTCAAGCTATCAGAAGATATTCCTCTGCTTTTAGATAAGAACGTGCCGTAGGTTTGGGTCGGATCTCTGTTGCCGGAATCGCCTGAATTCGTTGTGTAGAATCGATCGTCATAAAGCAAGACGGATTCCGGTAAAATATGACCATCAGATATTACCGGATCACGTCGTTTACCGGCGATCTTCTGATCAGACCTGATTGTTTCCGGCATAGTACATCTGATCGGCTATTGGAGGATTGGGTAACCAGATTTGAGAAGAAAACAATCGGAATTCACCGGAAAATAACCGACTGAATCCGATCATCATGTGATGCCAGATTTCAACCGCGTCGGATAAGATCCGACAGGTCAATAATGGCATGGGTAGTAGTCATTATCAGATGAAGTCTTTGGGCACTGTCTACTATTATTAAACTATCTTATAATAGAAATAATTACATGAGTTTTGGATAGAAAAAAAACACAGATGCGATTTGACCTTTTTTCTATAAATCTTACGATTATTTTCCAATGCTATATTTCGATTGACTTTTCTATTATGAATTATACTTTGCTGAATTATTAGAATATATCTTTTTATTTCAAAAATTTATTTTGTTCAGCATTCATGGTTTTAGGCTTTATTTATCACGGTATTCAGTGCTATCATCTATGTTTTGTCTATCTGATTGATATATATTGCTTCATAAACTTTTCTTTCTTGAATCAAGAATTTATTCATATAGACGCTCCATGTCACTTTTTGTTTTTTTAGATAAATGACTGAGAGTATTCAAGATTCATGGTCGAGTAGTGATGAAATATCACTAGATCAAGAAGATTTAAATAAATTTACATCTATTACCCAGTCAAAAATATTAGTGAAACCGGTCATAAACTGAAAGGAACATTCTGATTCTGAAGGAACGTGTTTTTTTCTGTTCCACACTATTACGGAATGGTTTCTTTTCAGCTCCAAAAACGTTCTGTATCCAAATGGAAAGCATTCTGAACCATTCCCTAAACAAAAAAAAAGAATGCGTGTCTGTCCATTCTTTTTTAAAACGGTCAGACTAGAATTCTATCTAAATGAGACCGCTGTTTTTGACATTCTCTAGAAGAACACCTAGGAATGGATTCCTTGAACTGATGGACCCATTCCAGTCCATCTAAAATCATTCTCAGGAGAAAAGAATGTATGCTCTACCGTTCTCGGAGTTGTTAAAATTTTCATCTGGATTTAACGTCAATTCTGAATCAAAATTGACAACAAAAATTGTGGAATCTCTACAAATTGTACCTTATACTGAATAGTTCTGATTTTCAAACAAAATATTTTGAGTATCATTTGAGCTACTCAAGATCTGAGCACACGGTTGGATAGAGCTAATCGAGATGTACTAGGATACATCAAGCAGTGAATCAAATGTTGACCTCACTTCTCTTCGAGGATTTGTGTAAGAGTTCTAAAGTGAATATTTTTCACTAGGATATACATGTATTTATATAGTATTAAGTAACAGTTGATATTCCATGTATAGAAAAAGTAAATGACAGTGAGCTATTTTATTGATAACATATACTACTAGTAGTGACTACCGTATTAATAAGTAAACGTCTCAAAATATGTTGTAATCATCATTAAATCAACAATAGTATAGTCTTTTAAGTATACAAATCACGTTTCCTGTTGAGAAAGTGAGTTCTGACGGTAAAAAGATACTTCAAAAGATTCATTTACGACTAGCTTAGTTAATCGATAGATAGTTGGTTTTTTTATTTGTGCTTTTTTCTAAATGAGACTATTAATGCAAAATGTGCTTCTTGACATAAGAAAATTGAGTTTTCAAGCATGATAAATATTGGAATGAAGTATCACCTTCTGACTACTATAAACTATATTGGTACTTCTTCTTTGTTCCTATTTCTTCTTGCCAAACCTATCAAACATAAGAATGAACAAAACGGTAGAATTGGTACATGAATGGCTAAATTTCTTTATATGTAGCTATCATTAAACGGACCTAGAAAGAACAACAAAGAGAACAATGAAGAGAAATAACAACAAAGCACTATAAAATATTATTGACATTAGGTTGAAGAAAAAGATTCCTTTCGATTATTATTGCATTTAAGTCCAATTTTCATCTTGAAGTAGGACATTTTACGTTCAATACATCCGACATCCGTTATTCATTTACATGTACTGTGTGTAATCGACAATGAAAGTGGCAATATTATTTTGAAGAGATTCATATGATGTTCTACGAGCTTAATGAGTTAGTCTAACTATGCTTAAGAAGATGTTCTTGTTGTCTAACTTCCATTCATAAAGTTTTAATTGTCATCATTTTGACCTAGATTCAATCAATTGATTGAACAATTATTTTTCTATTAAGAAAACAACTACGACTGCAAACTATTTAATACTGTGCCGTTTTTGTTTTAAAAACTTTTCATATGATAGATTTTCAACATAAAATTTAAATTGATTTCATGTATGCGTAGTGCTGTCATAATTACTCAAACAAATCTCTGATGATCTAACGTAATTTAACTATTAATTCTATTGATTATTGAATATTATTATGCAAATAATTGTGTAATATTTTCTTGAGCTGCCAACAATTAGAATAAAAATAGAAAATTATTCTCTTATGATTTAGCATCTAAGAAATCTCTCGGATTAATTATTATTAACTGAAAAATATTCTATCATAAGGATAGCACGGCTCATAATCATATATGAGAAATAGCTTGAAATTCAAGAAACTATTTTCTAAATTATTTTGACATTTTTATTTTGCTTGTTTATGAACTTTTTTTAAGACTCTCTAATTGTAATAAAGTATACGAGCTGGATAAATAGAAAGATAAGAAAAAAACAAAGATCAATTAGTTATTCTTTTTTTTATTGAAGGAATCTTCTATTTTTCAATATATATGTTTGTGTGTTCATTCTTAGTTGTTCTAATCACATAGAAAGGGTTCGTTTGCTTCGCTAACGTAATACTGCTAGTGTTGTTGGTGGTGGCTGATGTACATGATAATCATAACCATTGGTATAATATCGGCCTTCGGAATCTAACATACGATGTGGATTTGATAGGCTGTTTGACCAAAGTAAACTATGAAATGCACGTTTACCAATACGTGGAAAAAAGACACTGCGTTGTTCGATCAATCTCAATTGGCTATCGTGGTTTCTATGATCATCATAGCGTTCTTCACTACTAGTACTCGCATTAAGATCAAAGAGAGAAGCCATTTCGTCACCAGTTAGTGTTGAACGACCAATGCGTGGAAATTTTGTTGTACGAACAAAACGATCATAATATGAAGGTATATGTAATCCAATTGGTTGATCGATTTGATTATTTGCTAGTTCATTTGAATCAATAATATATGCGCACTAGAAAAATTTGTATTGTATCTAAACGATTAGAGTTCAAATATAAGATTAACTTACGGATAATTTAAGGAAAATAATCATTAAAACATAGAAACAACTCATATGTATTTTTGTTGTCAATAATAATGATGGAATAAACATGGTGGTGAATTTTCAAAAAAAAAACTAGTGACACTATCTAGTAAAAGACACACAATATATGGAATTCTAATATGAATTTTCTTTTGTCTAGTTTCAAAGTAGTTATGAAAATGGGATTTAATGCAGTACGCTAAAAGCGTCGAAAGAAATGGTAGGCGATATAAACATTGATGACTTCGAAGAAAAAAAAAGAATAGAAATAGCTTCTTTGTTTTCTTTTTTGAACAAATGAGAGAAAGCGAGAAAGGACGGTCTTTGAAATCGGAAAGGCAATCGATCGACAATAGTTCATTGTTAGTTCGAGCGGAAGTATGAGCGGACATATTGTGTTCAATTAACTCAATTTAGAAGCAGTTATGCTTAAGGATTCTTTGCAACTGTTAATATCAATAGCTTTTGTACTTACTTTTTATTCAAATATAAAAATTAATCTTTATCGTACAAATTCTTAAAGTTACTCTCGAGAAGAGACTGATCCAAAAAAAGCAACAACACCTTAAAATATGTTGGTTCTATTAAAAATAAGTCAATAAAACATAAGAGACAAAAGAATAGAAAATCGATTTTTATTTCAACATCCTTGATTAATTATCAAAGAAAAATAGAAAAAAACAATGTAGCAAGAGCAATTGATGATAATATTTCATAATATACTGAAGAAAAATCAGAGGCGTTATCATGATTGACAACCCATGATAATTATTTCGCTATATTATTTTGCGAAAACATTCCATGAAAATAGATACACACATGTGCATCTATATATTCATTTGCGTAGTTCAATTTACGTATATTTATTTTGCAACACGTTTGAACTAATGCATGCAATATCCTCTAATGCGAAATCATTTCCTTCCGTTTGTTATTGCCTGCAGATGAAAATGTTTTATTTAAATTATAATTAAATAAATAATTTTAGCCCGAACTAATTTTATGAGTTCATCATAACTGATCTTACTACTATGTTACTAAATAATAATAAACTAGTCTGACTTAATTTTTTATTTTAATAAATATCTTTTACAGCTGTACGTTTGTATTATTAAATTTAAAATGATATTTTTCAATATGAAACTAATATTTACTATATACGATAGTTTATCTTCTTATTTTATTGTTTTAAAGAAAAGAAAAACTTAAGTAGAATAGAATTACAGATACTTGCTAATACATATGTTAATTTATGAAAACTAGCTTCGACCATCGAAATTTCATGTATCTTGAATAGTTTGAACAAAGAAGAAAATCTATTTCAAACTTTAGAAGCGACAATTATACTTTGCCAAGCAGAAATTTGTTCATCATCGGGTAGATATTAATACACAATATAAAAATTCTTCCAAATCAATCAACTTAGAAAATCTATTTTTATATCTAAAATTTAAGACTAGATCAGCAACAATTATAAATTAGTTCTGATTTCGAGAACTCTTAACGAATGCTTTTTTGTAATGGAACTAAACTATCTGAAATAATTATTTCTCTATTGGGGAAAACAGCCAAAAAAGCATAGCACAACTCTTCTACTATTCAACAAATAGTTCAATTATAATTGAACTATTTTGTTCTGTTTACGAAAAATAATCTTTTGAGATTGTTGTTTACTTCTATTCAAACATTGATGCGTATATGATTTCATGTTTTATTCTGCCCAAGAAATTTTTTTTTCCATCGTTTATCTCGACTCGATCAATCTTTGTCAACAATATTGATGTATTCATCACTATTAAATTTGACAATAAACTGATTAAGCTGAATTTTGCAAGGCAAAAGTTGTTTTTTTTGGTGATCAATATGTTAAAATTGAATAAGGTTCTGTATTGAAAGAGGAAAGGAATGCACTTGTTTCCGATCGTAGTGGCTCAATTGAATACTAATAGAGTTTCAGCTGTAGATCGATGCAATTTTCAAATCAATTCAAATCTTGTTATTATCAAGCATAATTGAGAGATTTTCAGTTGATTGGAGTATGTTATTTGATTTAAGACTGATTGGATATTTTCTCAAGTCTATCACATTCCATGGTATCTCGATTCAGTTCTAATACTATTAACTATATGGATTTACAATTGTATTTAATACAGAAAAGAATAACGTATGAAATTAAAAGAAACAACATATGGACACAATTTATCTATCTATATTTATCACGCGCAGATATCAAACCTGCAGGTCGCGTTAAAATAGTTTCCCAGGGGATAGGACTGTCATTTCAAATAGAATAAAGAAAACTATTTTTGCCAAATGAAAATGAATCGAAAGAGTGTGAGTGTGGACTCATGTCTCAGAGAAACGGCGATTCCTACACACCCACACCCCAACTAATATAAAAATAACTAAGTCATAAGATAATTATGCAATACGATATTCAACAATATTATAAGTTAATTGACCTAGACTAAAAAAGAGGCACCATGTGATCTTTGAAATTCTTTCAAATAACTAAACTTAGCTATGTGTAGGAACAAAAGGAGCATTGAAATTATATTTTTAAAAAATATTCTCATAACATTAACAAGTTTTTTTGGAAAACGTGGCTTTTCATCTGAACCATCATGAATAGTAGAAATGATAATTGGTTTAACTTGTTCTGTTCCATCAAGTGCAACTTTTTCGAAACGTTTAGATTACAAATACGATGAAAAACTCCTGTATGTCATTCAGCATTTAATTGATCATATGCATCTGAACGTCTAACAATTGTTAGACGTTCAGATGCATATGACCAATTAGGGTGTGGGTGTAAATTTTTCATTAACACCCCCTCCCACCGAGAATACATCCTATTCCGCAATGTTGAACATTCCAGAACCAGTTCCGCTCACGGAACCAATTCCATCTAATTCCCAGAATTCCGTTTATCCCTTCCGATTCAATTCCGAAATTCCCGGAATGCCTACGGATTCTGCCTAATTCCCAACGATTCTGGAATTCAGTGCACCCACACCCTCTAGTTTCTTAATGTGATGTGATCAATCAACACTACAGTGATAAGCTTTATTGAATTGTGCATTGAATTGAGGCTTTGTTTCTAAGAAATCATCAAAAAAAAAGGAAAAGAGTATGTATTTGGGAGTAGCTGCCTAATTCGACTTCGAATATAAATGGAAAAAAAACCACTTTCATGTTTTCACGCAATAGCAAGGAAAAGATTTAGTTTTAATAAATTATAAAATTTATAAATTAACCTTCATTCCCATTTATAAGTTAGGAATAGATTTAGATTTCCTGGTTATAAACTGCAAAGTTTATTGAGGTTGTAGTAAGTCATGTTTGTTGGATAGTTTGAATTCTCGTGTAGTTTTGGGAGATATGAATATAAATTTGTTTAGTACAGTTTAAATTTTTTCGGATGAAAGACTTGGATTTGTTTTTGTATCGGTTTAAATATTGCTGCTGAACAATGTGCTATATCTGTGTCAACAATTGAAAGAAAATCAGGCCTGATTATTCCTTTTCAATTTTAGTGGTATGAAGTGTTTTAATATATGGGGTAATACGACCCTTTTCTTGATGTTGTATTCGGATAGGCATTATTTTTCGTATGGTTGTTCATTGGATTGTTCTCATTGGCTCGTTTCGTAGTCGACGGTGGAAGTAGGTGCGTATTTTAACTATTGTGCACTTCATTCTGTATACTTTCGATTGTTAAAATTAAAAGTTTAAGTACATCTTATGACCTGGATGTATGATTTTGTTTTCTTTCTCTCTGCTTTCTATGGTATTACTATAAATACGCGGTGTCCATATTGCTTCACAATATTAGAATTTCTTTTATTTCGTTCACTTTTATCACAAATTGAATGGTTTAATTTTTAGAATAAATCATTTAGATAGATATTCTTTGTATAGAAATTATAACATTCTAAGGGGTGGGTGTATGTAGACCCGTTATCCGCCTATCCCAGCATCCACACTTGCTATGTTGTGCTTGTGTGTAGACCCGTTGGCGGGCTTTCGTCACACCCACACCCTGAAACTTTGTATGCATGAAGGTTTCAATGAGACTAGCTTACAGAAAAGAACGTCAGAAGGTTTGGACAAACCCTCTTCGAGATATGAATCTCTCAAAATATAGACAATTTTCTATAGAAGCTGTATACTTGGCATCTATATTTCGAAGAGGGTTTGTCCGAACCTTCTGATGTTTTTTTCTGTAAGCTAGTCTCATTGAAACCTTCATGCATACAAAGTTTCAGGTTCAAATTCGAGAATATGATATTGCTGGGAAAGTCGGTCCTGTAGAGAAAATTCACTGAAAAATCGAATATCTCCATAAAGGTACGCCAACAGCCGCTAATATTGTAACCATGTTAGTTTCATGATGAAAGCTTTCATTTGACATAAAAAACTTCAACGGTTTTGCTTATCACCTAAAACATCTCCATTGTTAGTGAAGCCTCCAAAATACGCGTGAACAAAAATTACATAGACTACTGTAGGTCAGTTTCCCGAAAAAATGTTAAAAATTTATAAAATACTAGAAAAACTCGCAAAAATCTTTTTCGTTTTTTCTCGATTTACAGTTTTTGGAATGCGTATCTAAAAGTTTTCTATTTTGGCTCTATCAATGTATTGATATTTTTTTAAAATTAAGTCCTATTTAGGTCCATATCACGGTCAACTACACAAATTTGGCACCATTTGTTGAGTGTTTTAACTTGTGATCGCATTTTTGCGATAAAAGAGGGCTATTTAAAAAAAAGGAAGTTGTCATGCACCGCATCTTGACGTGGTCTTTCAAACAAACAAAAAAATATCAATACATTGATAGAGCCAAAACAGAGAACTTTTGCATCTTAAAAGAGCTATTCTTGAGCCTTGCTCGGTCTAGATCTCCCTTAAACCTCATGATTTGGGACTGAAAATTTTATCACAGACTATCCACTACAGCCCCAATATGTCCTCCAAATTTCAGCCCATTTGAACGTTTCTAAGGCGGAAATCGATTTTTGAGGGGGGAGGGGGCTTAACAAAAATTATATAGCTGTTTGTTTTTCTTTTTTTCTTTCCTTGTGGTGTTTTTCGTTGCTAATCATCATTATCTGCGTCCATTACACTTGAATCGTCATCATCTGATGGTAGTGCTCGTTTTTCACCAGTATTACTTATTTTTTCTTGTAATTGATGATTGTACTGTACAACTGTATCGTGGTTGACCAGGTGTTCTTTTGGATCAATCAAACCTTTAGTTGTTTTCTTCATTTTTGGCGTTGAAGAAAGGTATTGATTTTCCATTTTTTAATTAATCAAAGAATCACGTGTACGTAGACGTGACCGTGTTTTTTTATTCGAAGAAATGAAAGTATATTTATATACGTCTGATTGCGACGAAGGAATGCATATGAATGAGTTTGTGCTGATTACACTGTGCTTTCATTTTTATGAAGATAGCTGTAGCATATTGTATAGTCTGTTTCTCGACAAGAGTTATTTATTCAAATTTTTATATTTTCATTTCTCAGTTTGCTTTATGAATTAATTATGCAGTGCACTTTACTTTTTTTTGGCATGCATTCAAATCATTGTCCAAACATCACTTACAACTTACCATTGAGCATTCTTAAGTTTATTCCAAACTTTTGTGTCAACAGATGTATTATTGTACTTCTATCATTCTTTCCATAATAGCAGTATCTGTTCGATAATTTTCCTATAAAGATACGATAGTCTGAGAGAATTTGTAAATGGAATGGTATGTGTAGATGTAAACTTGGTAAGTTCATCAGATGTGTTCTGTAGTAAATCATCCTTAGTAAATTCCATTGTATCACATACAATTGGAATTAAATCACAAACAAGCATGCTTTTTGACTAGAATGAGTGTACGAGTGTACTGATATGGGTAGGTATAGACCTCTGTAGTTTGTTACTCTCACCGTCACCCACACATTCAACCAATCTTTTTTTGAAAATGAATGGTTCTTTTCTTCATTAATTGAAAAGGAAGCGCTATTATTGTTTATTGAATTTCAATTAAAAATGAAGAGTAGAATTTTTTCTCTGACATTATTTTTAATTTATGAAAAGAATTGCGTTTTTGTCCTTCTCTTGTATTGAGAGAGCATACTGTAATACAGCTATTGTTTAAATAAAAGCTTCTAAACTTGCATATAAAATGCAACAGACTGAAATCTTACATTTTATATTGTGTTTCATTGTATTGCAGGAAGCAAGCTTTAATATATATATATATATACGGTAGGTGCGGGACAGTACTGTGTGGATGCTATATAATATAGGATTTTCGCTTATCTGTTCAGAATAATACAACTCACTATAATAGTTTTCTCATCAGTTACTACAAGGCAGAAAAATATCACAATGTCGACAACAGATTAAATATATCACGATTGGCTGGACGCACTACGCCATTTCACTCTCAATTGAGTGATCAACGCTTAGCATCTTACAAAAAACGAAGTACATGGTCGTCTCAAGCAAACTCAAACATTTCAAATGTGAATCCAGAATTTGTACCGCAAGTCGACATGGCTAGTGAGACTTCGACAGTGAGAGGAGGTAGATTGAATATTAACACTCAAAATAAATCCATATCGGAAAACAAAGCAGAATCTTTCAGGTTACATTGATGTTCTTTCGTTGGCGAATGATAATGATTTCTATCATTCTTCAACTTCAGAAAGAATGCTGTTAGCTTTTGGTCATCATCATGCAAGGCTTGTCTTATTGGCTGCCTAATTGCTACACTACTAGGCAGCATTGTTACTGCTTTGATTTTAACAATGTGGTTGACAAGTAAGCTCGGATAGCCAATCAACTTAGTCCATAGAACAAATTTCGCATGCATAGGAGTTCACACACCGGCCATTGATAATTCAGCTCTATATTAAAACGTTTCCATTTGAAACCACTTTCGTAATTAAGAAAAGCAATTTACAACCCTCTTGACGAAGGTGTAGCGCATGTAAATAAGCACAGAGACTACTCATATCCTCTGAAATTGAAAATGGAATGATAAATTAATACACGGTTGTAGGATTAAACATATTTACAATATTAGAAATATCAATCGGCGTGATTTAACCTGCAGGCATTCATAGGTACATGAATACAAATAGAAATTGTATTTGTGTGGGCCTCATTCTCAATGACTAATACTAACAGTGTTGAAGAAAAAACTCGACTGATCTCACACATGCTCTGCATTCTGTCGTTTAAAATCGTACACAGACCTTATTTCTTCACGTCGTTTACTCTATTTTTAGCAATAACACCGTCTGCAGTGATAACCTCTACGACAATGACGATCACTACAAATTCTACTACAACGGTGAGCACAACGACATCTGTGACAACGACGACCACCACAACGTCAACGACTACGATGGCTTGTAGTGTTTTGCTTTTTTACTTGTCTCTAATCAATTTCGATCGCTATTTCTTCTTCAGGCATGTCAGATGACATTAATACGTTGACCATTCCTACATGTGCTACATGGAATCAGGCAGGAATAACGGTGGCTGGCAACCAAAACACGACGGCTGGTTCCGATTTGGCGCCCCTTAACTATCCAATAGACATCTTCGTCGACGATAATTACACTTTATACATCAGCGATGCAGACAACAGTCGAATAGTCATGTACTATGAGAATGCTGCTAGTGGTATTCTCGTTGCTGGTACAAGCGTCGGGAACGGTTCAACTCAACTTAGCAAACCGAAAGGCGTTGCCGTCGATACGACGGGTGCTGTGTTTGTTGGTGATACTGCAAATTACCGAATTCAAAAATTTCCTTATGGCTCCTTGGAAAATACATGTTTTTCAATATAAATTTTTCAAACAAAATACTATAGGTAGCTACCACCGTAACGGCCAATAGCATATCAAGTCCTCTTGGTACAACGCGAGATTTGCATATTGATTGCAATGATGACATCTATGTAACAGATTCAGATCACCATCAAGTTACCATGTTTTATAGTAATAGTAGCATCGGTACTGTTATAGCAGGCACCGGTGTAGCTGGTTCAGCATCGAGCATCGTATCAGTTGTCAAGTCCATTCGGAAGTTTCATGAATAAAATGGAACATTGTATGTGGTTGACTATGGAAATTATCGTGTTCAGATGTGGCCAGCTAGAGCGATGAGTGGAACCACTGTAGCCGGTATTAATGGATCGTATGGCTCATCATTGATGCAATTAACTAATCCATCTGCAGTCATTGTTGACAATAATGGGTACGATACTACATGATATATAATTGGAATCTAGTCAAAGGACGGGGGTGGATATGCTAGCAAAAACGGCCCTATTTGGAAACCATAGTGAAACCCCTATTAACTATACATAGTTCGAAAAGAAATAAATACAAAACGACGAATCAATAAAAATTTC